CATGATTTAGTAATTAGAATTGGTGATTTTGATATCATTCGATTCATCTCAATGAGACGAATCAATTGATACTAAAATTATCTTGTTCTGGTTGATATATTATATAATATTTATCAAAAATGTTAGTTGCATCAAAATAGGCATACCTCTCTTATATTGTTTTATAATTAGACTATACAAAGTTGATGTTTTGTTTTGTATTTCGTGAATTTTTAAATTTCTGGTCAGTCAGTTAGATTTTTTCAATTTACAATAAATTAATATACTCATTTTACATATAAGGTTACAAAAGTTAATTTTCACTTTATATAATATAGAATCAAAAATTGTTTTGAAGCTAAATTTTTTTTTATTAGTTCATCAAATAATTTCAAAAAAATAAAATCTTTATCCAGTAATGTTAAAATAATTTATAAAAAAAATTAAATGGTAAAAATAAAATAATTGATACAATTAGAGCTTAAACAAAATTGAAAATTTAAAAAAAATAGGTTAGCAGATTATTAACAAAATTTTTAAGCAGATATATAACAGTTAATCAATATATATTAATGATAAATAATAATTATTAATATTTAACAATTAATAATGATTAAAATTGCTATCAATAAATAATGATTTTATAAAATTTAACAAATTTTTTTAAAGTTTAACATTAATTTTTTCAATATTTACTAATCCAAATCTGCTTAAATTTTATCATATATAGATTATATATTTAACTATAATATAGTTAAATTTTAGCTAATTTGAATTAATACTTATTGAAAAATCATTTGTTAACAATAGTTAAATTTTTTAAAAAAATTGGATGTTCTATAGAATAGGTGGGCAAACTTTGCAAACTCTGCAACTCTGCTATTAAAATATTAATGATTACTAATCATTAATGAAGCTTATTTCTTAGAGTAGTAACAGATATTACGTAATATATTTTTACTATACCCTCTACCCTTCCTCCCTATATAAAAAAAAATTTGATTGGCTATTATAAATTTATATATCAACATAAGATATCAAAAGACCTCTCACCTTTTAGAATATTATATAATATCTGTCACTACCCTTATATTACCCACTTATTTTATTGAACATCCAAAAAATTAATTATTATTAACAAATGATTTTTTTTTATTTTTTATTTTTTTACTTTCACAATGTCACAGAAGAGTGAATTTTTATTAAGTATATTAGTAGTATATTCTTGATTAACAAGAGTACATTCTAGCTATACCTGCACCTTTTGAGCGTTTAATTAAGTAGCTACCTATTATTAAGGTCTACATTAGATGTCATACCTATAATACACTATTACTTGAGCTATCCAATTAAACTTTCTAATGTCTTCTGTTCTGCACCACCACCTCAATTACGCTATTCTATAACTTTATACTGCTTCATTGAAGACTATCCAGATTGACATGTGCTATACTACTTGTATTCTAATTTTATAGATAACTTAGTAGAGTTCTCATACTTACCAGGTTACCTTAGAGAGAGTGTAGTATATACTTACTAATTTTTCTATATCTTATATATTTCCAGACTAAGCCTTTTCGGTAACTTACACCAAGTCCGAGGACAAGTATTTGCAAGCCGAAGCTGCTATAGTTACCTACTATTGTGCTTGTAGAGTTTACTCAGATTCTGGTACCTACTTTACAGACTCTCTCCCATATCTCTAAAAACCTAAACTACCAATCTAATGGCCTAGAAGGGCAGAACCTTTCCTCCAGTTATCTAACAGCTTGGTTGGTATAGTGCTTTGATAAACATCTTAGTCCTGTCTGGTTTTCCAGTATTTGGTTGATCATTCTTTATATAGTAACTATTGAAGATCTGTGTTATCTCTCCACTCGGGTCTTGCTAAGCAGGCTCCCGTATCCTATAAATTCACTAGATTTATTTGGTAGCTTTACTCGGATTTCATGTAATTTGTATATCACACTACCACTGATTGAAAAGGTAAAATTCGACCTCAAATTGGCCAGAAATTAGCCAAAATTCGCTTATAAATTGGTAGTCGATTGGCAAATTTTGGTCGAACTCAGATCAAATCGGCCAAAATGATCAATCTAGATTCGATCCAAAAAATATCAGGTAAAAAAAAAAAAGTAGCTGATTGTTTAAATCAGTAGCTAATTATAGACTGATTGTTTATACAGGTAGCCAATTATAGATTGAATACTAAATTTTTAACATTTGACCTAAAATCAGCTTTCAAATTTTGGCTGATTGTTATAAATATTCAGCCAAAATTTGGTAGCCGATTTTAGGTCAAATGTTAAATTTTAGCATTCAACCTATAATTGGCTACCTGTATAAACAATCAGCCTATAATCAACTACTGATTTAAACAATCGGCTACCTTTTTTTTTTTTACCTGGTATTTTTTAGGTCAAATCTAGGTCGATCATTTTGGCTAATTCGACCTGAGTTTGACCAAAATTTGCCAATCAACTACCGATTTGTGGTCGAATTTTGGCTAATTTCTGGCTGATTTGGGGTTGAATTTTATCTTTTCGACCAGTGTATATATTTCACTACCTCTTAGTACAAGCTAGTACGACCACTATTACAGGTTCTACAATCTAATAGGATACAGTCTTCCAAATGCATTTTCTATAAATTTGAATTTTCATTACCAGTGAGATTTGAACTCTAGTTCTGCTACTTGGGGGTATAACAACTTGCTAACTTCACTAAGTTGCTACACTCTTTAAATGATTTTCTTAAGAACTACTAATTTTTTTTAATATTAATAATGAGATCATGCCTCTATTTTTATTGAATATTTAATTAAGATTATTACATAAAGTACTAATTTATTTTTAAAATATTATAAGAAAAATAAAGGCTTAGCTAGTTTATTTGTGATCTAAATCAACTGGAATAGCCAAGGATCTTCTTTAGTATAGGTAGACATATATAAAATATTACAAGATTATAATATATAAAACCTAACTAATTTGAGCCAATTTAAACTCTAATTTTAACTCTGACTCCAATAATTTATAAAATTACTTAAATTAGTTTAAAATAGTTAAATTATATATGTTATAATTGTATAATGATTATATATGCCCACCTATACTAAAGATCAACCGTAGCGAAGGTATATCTAGATTTGGGTATTAGTAAGAATATAAGAAAGATTAGTATTATTTATTTCTAGAGAAAATTATAGCAAAGGTTACTGATGATTATAGCATGTGAGATGGTCCAAAAGGCCATCTCATATGATATGATCATTGATAACCTCTGCTATAATTTTCTTCTAAGAAATAAATAGATAATCACCAGAAGCATATTACTAGATATTAATCGAACTGCCTTTATCATTACTTATATACGTGAATTCATATTTATATTTGTATTGTGCTTTTGTATATTTTTTTTTTATCTATTTTATTTTTTTCACTTTTGATTATACGTTATAATTTAATTATATAATAAGCTATATTTATATAATTAAAATTTTAATTGCACTTAACTTTTTTAAATCTTTTTACTTTCGCTTTGCCTTTATTGTACCATTTTAAATAAAAAATAACCCAACCTAATAAGCAGTTCATTTCATCAACTAGAGAAAAAATTATTAAAGCCTAACAAGCATCATGAAATATAAATACTGACAAGTCTTCAAATCAATGAATAGCTTTATTTATCAAATTTCATCAATTACACAAATATATTAATGAAATTATTGATCTTGATAATAAAACATTATCAGATCAACTCTAACAATTTTTAATTGCAGTTCATAAATCAAATAGACAGGAATATAAGGCTTCATTTCTTTATACTAGATTTTGTGCTATTGTACAAGGTATATCAGAAGTATTTGAAGAAATACATGTTGTAAATATATTTGACAAACACTAGTTTAAAAGTTTACATCAAACATTGGATGTACATATGAAAGCAATTGTTGAAAAAGGAAATAAAAATCATAAACAATCAGATTTATTAGATATGGAAGAAATTAAGTTTATACTTGACTCATCTGCAACAGCAACTGATACTCCTAAAGGTCTTTTATGAAGAGTTTGGATTTGGTTGTCTTTACTATATTGTTTAAAGAGTGGTGATGCTAAATGATTAAAGCTTCCTGGCTTAAAGAATTAGATAATAGAGAAATGCGACTAAAATTATCTACTGAAAAAAATCATGCTAGAGGAATTAAAGATCTATATGCTAAGACTGAAATCAGTTTTATACTACCAGATACTGTAGGAAATAAATATACACCAGTGGCAGATATTAAAAAATATTTGTCAAAATGTCCAAATAATATTGAAAATGATTATTTTTTCATTACAACTAATACACCAAAAAAAATTTATCGAGGTGAATGGTATTTACTAAATAAGCTAAAAAAAAAGATCTCACAACACAATAATGTATACAATATACAAAAATGCCAACTTGACTTTAAAGGTCATAATATTATTAATTATTCAATGCAATCGACAGATATTCATGGTTTTGTCAAATCTGGTGTGATACTTAATAAACAGATAATTTTTTCACAGTATAAAACTATTGCAAAGTGTCTGCTTATCAACATTAATCTGTAAAACACAAATTGGATAATGTTTCTTAGCTAATTCCTATCGAAGAAATGGGTAATATATTATTTATATAATTTATTATTCAATTATTATTTATTTACAATTAATATATTTATTCTTTATTTATAAATTAGATGCTTATTCAGTATTGAAAGATTCAATATCAACATATAATAATCAATCTGATAAGATTGATATTAAAGTTTTAAATTTATTAACACTATAATTAATTGATTTTTTTTTAGAATTTTCAAAAGCACCTGATTTAATTTCAAGTATATCCAATCTGATCTCAACTGAGCTAAATAAAAAGGCTAAAATATCAAATAAGAAAGAATCAAATAATCAACAATCAAGCATTCCAAAAATTTTCAACAAAAATTGTAATAATATAAGTATTAATATTACATTCAAAAAAAACTCTTTCTGCTCATTATCTGTATACAAAATTTTGTCACAATTCAACAAACTCATCAACTTAACCTTCATCCAATAATAATGGGCAACTTCAATACATATAATAATATTTTCAGTTCATCATCCAAATACTGACTCATTAACTATCTACATCATACTAATATATATAACCTTAGTG